AGCACTTCTTACTGTTTCTCTTAATTTTAGCTATCTTAGTGGGTATGCAATAGTATCTCATTGTGGTTTTGATTTACATTTTCCTGATGATTGAGAATATTTTCATGTGCTTATTTACTTTCCATAAATCTTAGGTGAATTGTCTATTCAAATCATTTTACTTCCCCCACGTTTTTAAAAATTGGATTTTTGTTTTCTTATTAATGAATTTTTAGTTATTTGCATATTGTGGATACAAATCCTTTATCAGATATATGATAAATATGCAAGTATTTTCTCCCAGTCTGTGACTTGTCCTTTTTATGCTTTTAACTGAGAGCAGTTTTTATTTTAACACCACTGTATCAATTTTGGGGGGAAAGTGTTGTATCTGAGAAGTCTTTCCCTAACCCAAGGTCATAAATGTTTTTTCCATACTTACTTGGCAGGAGAGATACCATGATCAGAAAAGTGGTTTTCCTAGGGTGAGGCTTATCTATTGCACCCCAGATATGCTGACCCCTGTGATTCCCCTAAAAGTGGGACCACGTTTGTGCTTCCCCCTACAAAAAATGTTTTTTTCCTAGAAGTTACTGTTTTAGGCTTTACATGTAGGCCTATGATCTGTTTTGAGTTAATTTTTTATATGGTGTGAGATACGGATTGAAGTTCATTTCATTTTTTTTCTTTCCTTTTTTGGCATATGGATGTCCATTTGTTCTAATACCAATTAGTGAAAATGACTATCCCTTCTCAATGGAGTTGGCTTTGCAGCTTCATCAAAAAGCAGTTCTCCATGTATATATATGTTAATTTCTGGACTCTTGTTCTGTTCCAGTGATCTATTTGTCTATCTTTATACCAATACCACACTGTCTAGACTAGATTTTACATTTCTCCAAGATAAGTACATGTTTTTTGTCCATCCAGCATTTATTAATCGAACACTTTGGGTACATTAACCAATATATTTATAGTATTGAAAAAACAAATCTTAAGACGACCATTTAAAAAGAAAATAGAGAGTTAAAATTACAATTTAAGGACTATTTAGTATTTTGAAACATGTTCTGCATGTTAAGTCCAAAAGATATCAAAAGTTTTCAGTAAGCTTGTGTATCTTTGAAATTTAACTTAAGGTCTAAGCTTTTTAAAGCACAAACCAGTGTGTTGGTTGTCCTCTTCTAATCCTCCCAATTCTGTGTCCTTCCTGACTGCTATACATTAAACATCTTTTGGTTCTTTTTCAAAACTAATTTTAATTATATGTGTATGGGAGTGTGTTTCCTTTTCAAAATTAAAGCCAAAATTTCCAAATCCTGTCCCTGTACACTCTTTGCTGTTTGCTCTGTGTGCTTCTGAACCCTTTTCTAATGCATTTCTGTACATATTTGTATTTGCTACTGGTTTGAGATTATTTTTAAATAAAAAAAAAATTGATAAACATAATTGTGCTTTTCTAACAAAAACCACAGCATTCTTGTGGTTACTTTTTGCCTCTCTCTCCTTCACCAGTCCCCCATGTCTACACTGGAATTTTAGTATCTGATTTTTATTCAAAAAATTTAAATAAATAATTAAAGTGCATAGATTTTGATAAAACTTCTTTGTTTTCCATTGTTTATTGCATTGCACTACATTTTGAGTATTTTTCTTTCAAGAACTCTTCCTTGAATAATTCTTTCAAAGAGATTAAGTGGACAGTAAACTTTGGGAGTCCTTGAATATCTGGAAACATCTTCATTTCACTCTTACATTTGCAAAATAGCATGACTGGTTATAAATCTAGGTTCAATGATGTTTTCTTTCAGGCATTTGAATATACTATTCTATTCTCTCTTTGTATCCCATGTCTTTCTGATTCCTTTGCAGATAACTGCTTTCCTCTTCTGAGAGTTTTAAGGACTTATATTAGTATCCTTAGTGTTTCTGAAGTTTTACCAGGATTATTCCAGGTGTGGGCTTGCTTTTGTTGTAAATTTCTCCTTTTTTACTTTGTGGGCCTGTTCATTTTGAGTTTTTCCTAAGCGTGGGAAAGGCTTATTTATAGTTAGATATTGCTTTCCCCTGTGTATTACCTTTCTTTATTTTCTTCTTTTTGAACTTTGACAGACTAATGGGACTTCTGAATCTTACTCCTCATGTTCCCCTAACCCGTATTTCATTCTTTCCAGTGCTCTCTCCCCTTGTACTGCGTTCGGAGAGAGTTTTGCTCTCCAGTTGACTATTGCGCCCTCTTCATGTGTCCATTCTGCTTTTCAATCCACAACTGCTCTTATTATGAAACTGTGTGTTCCTCTTTGATGGATGCCATATTTCCTCTTTATCTCTGAGTATTTTAATTACACTTAACTTGAAATTTTACTCTGACTCCTTTATGAAGTCTGCTTCTTCAGATGCACATTCTTCCATTTGTTGAGTCTGTATTTTCTCTATCTTGGTTTTCTCGAAACATTAGGCATTTGAGAAAATGTCTGCAGGAACGATGGCGCTGTTCCATACGTGTTGTAGCGAGCTAAATACTTGGAGGGTGGTTGGTCATGTGGGTGTTCCCACCTGAAAGATACTCTGGTGTGTGTGTGTATTGGCTGGGAGGGCAGTGGTGCCCAGAGGTTATATGCTTGGCTTTGCTCACTGTGATTTTTCAGATAGCAGCCCTGCTGGTTGTCTTGCTGGCCCGGCCTGTTTGGGCTCCCACTAGTTCTCCCTTCGGCAGCAGAATCCTGCCATTCGTAGCCAAGGACTGCAGTTTCCCTCTCCAAGCTGGCCTTTCTTTGTGTTTCTTAGAAATTTCACAGTAATTTGTCGACTTGGAGTTCTCTTTTTATGTTTTAAGCTCAGCTACCCTTGTTTATTTGTTCGTCTGTTTATGTATTGTTCCTACCTTTTCTATTTTTAGGGATTCATTGTGGGAGGTGAAGACTGTGACATGTTACCAGTCCGATATTTTTGAAAATGGAAGTCCTGTTGTCTTTTTCAATTTCTATCCTGCTTTTGCTCAGATGGGCTTGTAATGACAATACTGCAAGTAGGTAGCCTATAATCCCTGATAAGGAAAAAGAAAGCTGGTGACCTTTTGGGAGGTTTACTTCCGCATTACTGCTCCTATAGTGAATCATCAGCAGTTTGTTGCACTGGGTTAAGTTGAACTGGAAAAGCCTGTGAATAGGGTGAGAATAAGGAGTGTAGTAGTGTCTGTGCACATCTAGACCTGTTTATTTTTTATTCAGTCATTGTTTTACCTGAAGTTTGTGTGTTTACCTATGCCTATTGCAAATTCAAACATCAAAATACTGTATATAGTAAATGACATTCACCAAGATAGTATCAAGTATTACTATGTGTTTTAGGAAAAAATTGTTAGTTACAGTAAGGGAAGTAAAGGATTACGTTATAGTCTGTTTGGATTAGGCTTAGGTTGGGACCAGGAACTGAGAAAGACATGAGGTGTAGGTTAGAAAAAAATAAACAAGAGATTTAGAAAAATAATTAAATGTATGTATATATCTATATTTGACTATATTCTGTGTTTTTCCTTAAAACATTCGCTTTTCTCGATTTTTCTCCGAATTTTATAGCGTTTAAAATTTTTATTTAATTTTTTGGTCCGTCATGATGCCTTTTTAAAAAATACTGAGGTATATTTCACATACCAAAATATTTGCCCTTTAAAATACAAATCAGTTTTAGTATATTCACAGAGGTGTGCAATGATCACCACTATTTAATTCCAGAACATTTCATCACTTCAAAGAAACCACATACCCCATCATAGTTCCCCCATTTTCCCTTCCCTCTAGACCCTGGCAACCACAAAATACTTTCTATCACTATGGATTTGTCTATTCTGAACATTCCATATAAATGGAATATAATAATATGTGACCTTTTGTGTATAGCTTATTTTGCTTAACAGAATGTTTTAAGTGTTCGTGTATGTTGTAGCATGAATCAGTACTCCTTTCCTTTTTCATGGCCAAATAATATTCCATGGTATGAGTATACCACAGTTTGTTAAACCCATTATGTTGTTTCCTCTTGGCTATTATGAATAATGATGCTATGAACATTGGAGAACAAGTTTTTGCTTGGACGTACATCTTCATTTCTTGCATTCCTATGAGTGGAATTGCTGGGTCATATGGTGAGTCAGTGTTTAATTGTATGCAGAACTGCCACCTGTTTATCAAAGCAAACCTTTTTACCTTCTTACTGGTAGCGTATGAGAGTTCTGATTTCTCTACATCCTCACCAACTCTTGTTACTGTCTGTCGGTTTTATTTCATCTGTACTAGTGGGTATGAAGTGGCATCTCATTGTGATTTTGATTAGTATTTCTCTGATGGTTAATGGTGTGGAGCATCTTCATGGGCTTATTGGCCATTTGTGTATCTTCTTCAGAGACATGTCTATATCCTTTGCCCATTTTAAAAATCAGGTTGTCTTTTTATTGTTAAATGTAAGAGTTTTTTATGTATTCTGGTTGCTAGACCCTCATCACATACACATTTGCAAATGTTGTCTCCCATTCTGTGGTGGCCTTTTCTTGGTAGTGTCCTTCGGAAGCACAAAAGTTTTTAATTTCAGTGGAATCCAAAATTATTTATTTAAGTGTAATTTAAAGGAACAAGCATCTCTTCAGTGCATGGAGACTCTAGGCAGAGAAAGACAATGCTCTGGAATGCTAAGACGGGATTCTTTCCCCTGACAGTCTGATCCAGGAAATCTCTACTCTTCATACTCCATACTTGCTGCTTGTGGTGTGGAATCATACAGATTTTTAACCCTCTGGGATGGTGTAAGAGGTAGTGAAATGGCGTGTATTTTTTTAGTGTTTCCCTATTAACTAAAAGCTGGCCCCTTGACGAGTGGGGTGATGTCGTTAGCACTCTGCGTATTTGGAAAAGTAGCATTGTCTGTGAATCATATATTACATCTGAGGTGGAAGTGAAACTCCTCTAATTAACCGCTGTGAAAGTTACTCGCGACTCACCCTCATTCTTGTTCTGTGGTTTCTCCAGTTCTGGACTTCAGCGATCCGTTCAGCACTGAAGTGAAGCCGAGAATCCTGCTCATGGGCCTGAGGAGAAGCGGCAAGTCGTCTATTCAGAAAGTTGTCTTTCACAAAATGTCTCCCAACGAAACCCTGTTCTTGGAGAGCACCAACAAGATCTGCCGGGAAGATGTTTCCAACAGCTCCTTTGTTAATTTCCAGATTTGGGACTTCCCGGGACAGATTGACTTTTTTGACCCTACATTTGACTATGAGATGATCTTCCGGGGAACAGGAGCCCTGATATTTGTCATAGACTCCCAGGTAAAGCTCAGGCGTGGGTGTGATGATGCTGCAGTCCCCGGCCCGGCACAGGCAGCCCCTTCCCCATGTTCACACTAGTGCCTTTATGATGGTTTTGGTTTGGTTTTTAGAATCGGGAATAGGCCTTCTGCCAAACAGACATTTCTCAGTTGGGGCTGTCGGGGTTTGCAAAGGAGAAGAGACTCCTTTGTCACCCCAAGTAACAGGCAACTGCAATAGTGATCTGTGTACACCTCAGCAAATTACAGACCTGGGAAAACTCACAGATGGAGGGTACCTGCATACAGGCCATGGCAGCGGCTGTATGTCCCTGCTCTGATGCTCTTGGCAGATGTATATTAAAGGTTACAGGTTCTCTGCAACAAAAATACATATATAAATTTACATTTTAAAATGTTTACTATTTCCTCTAAAGTTCAGTTCTAATTGTGACATTTTTTCTTCTGAATTAAATTATTATGATATTACTAGTACACAAGACAGCCTAACAATTATGTATTTATAGGTAACTGTTAAATATAAAAAGTAAAGTTTGAGGAAAACATCTCTTAAGAAGAGGATATTTTTCCACTTGATTCATATATCCAGGCTTGATTAAGACAGGATATAGCATCAGTTCTGTTTTTGTTTTCTGTTTGTATAAGCGTAAATGCTGAGAAACCTTGTTCACACAAATGAGTGGGTGGATATGGGGTGAGTTTTGTTACTAGCATTCACTTGATTATTTCAGCTTCTCCCAAGTTACTTCCCCCTAAATTTCCCAGTTTCCTACCACAAAAAATTGTTGGTAGTAGTTTATTGATAGACATCCTGATCGGACGGACCGTCCTTTAACTTTCCAAAAGCAAAAGGTTGGGAAATCCTTGACGGTGAAGAGCCTTTATTATTTATTGCCCAGGCGTTAGTAAACTCACTTCATCAGAACGCTTCACTCTTATCACCTTCCTGAAATCGTCTCTGGCACCCCGGTTTCATAGCTGGGCCTTTGTCCTGTAGAGCAGGAGCCGGGCCGTGGTTGCCCCTCAGGCACGTCAGTGTCAGGAAGGATCATGGGTGACAGGACAGGGACGGTGACCCTCCCCATCCTCTCCAAGCCCAGGGGACTCTGAGGAAGTGTCCCTGATGCGCGGCCCCGCCTGAGGGCTTGCTCCAGGGCTCTCCTGGGCAGCTGTGGGGGAGTAAAAGGCAACAAGCCCTGCAGGAACGCGCTAAACAGACTGAGTCCCAGTCACGCCATTTCCCTGAAACTGTGAACCTGCAGACAAGTGCGCAGAGCCCCCCAGCCCTTGCAGGAACGCCACGGGGTTAGGGGGCAAGGGATATGAAGACTTAGAAATAAGGGTCTGAGCCAACACGTGGAGAACCTTCCTCATGCCTGAGAGCATCATAGATTCACTCAGGGAACTAAGCGCCTATTTAATATAATAATGAAGCTTTCAACTAAGCCTTTCGGTTCCAAGCGACTGCATTGTGTCCCCCTAGCGTAGCTGGGGGAGTGTGGCCATATGGTTAGAAGGGCTCTTTGTTTGGGGATGGGGGCGTGGAGGGGGGAGGCCGTGGTTCTCAGGCCGTGGTCCACGAGCAGCAGTGCCGCCCGCTGACAGTGCATGCCCCTCGACGCCGGCCTCAGGCCCAGGGCCTGCCGTGGGGCGCTGCCTCTGGCTGTCCCGCTGGTACCGACTCGTGACCCGTCTGTGGCTTGGGCACTGTCCCCCGCCTTCCTGCCTCAGGCGCCTCGGGTCTGCCAGCACCGTAAGTTAGGGAGCCGGAGAAGGGCAGCTGGGTTCTGCACCTGCTGCTGCATGGGGGCGGGGCTCCGGGTGTCACTGTCGTCTGACCTCTGAAGCTACGTTTGTATCCCGAAGTCACTCGGCTGCTGTTTTCTGTAGTTGAACTTGGTAGCCTAGGTAGTAATAGCCCGCCGGGGAGGTAAGTAGATCCCAACCTGATGACTCATCATTTCAAGACAGTGGCTCAGTAAGTTCTTATCACTACCGCGCTGTGTTCCTGGAATTGAGATTGCCAGCGCAGCTCTGTCTCGGGTGTTTGTAATGTGCCCATAATGTGGCTAACGTTGGTACACTGACCTATTTTTAAACTGTAACTGTAATTTTTAATTCTGCCTGAACATGGAAAGTGGATCTTCAATTTGGGTGGGTAAATGTGTTTTTGTTTTATTTTGTTACTTGTTTGGAGTTTTTTAAAAAAGTGAGGTAGAGAAAGGCGTAAGAAGAAAAAATTCACCTTTTAAGTTAGATATTAAAGAAAACAGTGTTTTCACACATGAGCAGTCATTTAGTAAAAAGAAGGAAAATTAAATAAGCCATTTCAGAGCCTATCTAATACATACTTTCCTTCTGAAAACAGACTATAAAATACAATAATGTTCCAGGGAATCTTTACAGATGTGATTACAAGCACTGAGAAGAAAAGTGTATTTTGGGGAAGCATCTGGCAGCACTTGCACGTCGTTGCCTTAGTTTCTAAGCAGTGCTCCGTTGGTCTGACAGCTCATGTTTTAGTTTCTGCCTGTGAATTCCTCACAATCCCAGGATTGCCGGATAAATTTATGACCAAGGAGAAAACGTGTCCTCACAGCATGTTGTAAAATAAAAGAGAATGAAATCATCTGAAGTGATTTCCCAGGAGCTAAATGGGTGGCACCTCCCACGCCCAGCAGAGCCCACAGAATGCACCACATCTGCAGAGCTGCCCTCAGCCCTCTGAAGCCAGTTCACACATGTTGGGATCCTGAGAGCATGTCTGCTCAACCCGTGTTGATTGCGACCTGCCTGTAATTCCTAGATCTAATTTTGAACAAAAACTAAGCAGTGTATTTTTCCTTTAATTCTACTTATTGTAGAAGATAATAACAGACAGTTGGAAAAGTCATCCCCAATCCCTCTGCTCCAGTAAGCCAAGAATTCTTTTTAATGTTAGTTTTAGATCTTGTATCTATATGCCACTTCATCAGTTGATAACCATATCATTTTATATGCTTGGCCGGGAGGTTAGAGGAGAGATTTTTTATCTTCTCATACTGTGATGCTCTTTTGACATTGGCTAGCTTTGCTCACAGACATGTCACCTTAACTCCCCTATAATGCATCATAGGCAATACCATTTTTGGATACAATTTACATACAATAAAATGCACTCATTTTAAGTGCACAGTTCAGTGAGTTTAACAAACATACACACTTTGGAACCACTTCATAATCAAGATAAAGACTTGTCTACCACCCCCAAAGTGTTATTTTAGGTCCTTTCTCAGCACCCCAAAATTTTTTGGTAAATTTTAAGACAGTGTAATAATTCTGTGTGTTGTTTATGGGTACATGTAACAATGTAAGGTGATGAGTGAGAATATAAACACTTAACTCCAGCAGGGGTTACCTCTGGAGGGTCGCGGGTAGAGTGATGGGCTGGGCTGGGAAGATGACACACGGCTTCAGTGTCTCCTGTTTGATTTCTTAAGCATGGAGATGTATATGCAGGTGTTCATCATGTTGTTACATAGGTATCATCTGTAGGAAGGAGGGAAAAATGGTATGTTATTTGGGGCAGTTAACTCCAGATCAAAGGTCAGCTAACTTTATATGTGAAGGACCAGATGCTAAATGCTCTAGGCTTTGCAGGCTATACTGTCTCTGAGGAGTTTCCACGGAGGAAACTGCTCAGCGCTGCCATGTACCACAAAAGCAGCCGTAGACAATATGCACACAGATGTATGTGGCTGTGCTCAACCACTTTACTTAACAACCAGCAGTGAGCCTGATTGGATCCTCTGGCTACCGTTTGCTGACCAGTGGTTCTTAAAAGTCTCCCCTCCTGTCTCTTTCCTCATTCTCCCTGTGACCTCCGTCCCATTTCCATCACGGTTCATCAGGAGACTTGCCACCAACCTGGGAAGACAGTACCGTGCCCAGGGAAGGCCCTAGGTGCTGTGAGGTCATTCTGAATTCATACAACTGCAATTTTATCGTGACCATCAAGGGAAATCATAACAGCCTACAGCAGCATTTTCCTAGCCTTTCTTTTTCATCTCTTTGTTAAAACCGAAGTTTTCAAACTTGGATTCTATGAAACCAGCTTTTATTTGGGTTTTTGCAAAATATGTTTGAGGGTCATACCCACGTGGTTTCCAGATTTAGGAATGTATGTGATGGAAAGAAATGGTGGCCGTGAGGTGGGGTGATGTATGGGTTAATTAGCTCAGCTGGGGGTGGGGGTCATTTTATGATGTATAAGTATTTGAAAACATCATATTGTGCACCTTAAATGTGTGTGATGTTTATTTGTCAGTCATACCTCAGTACAGCTAGAAAAAGCACAGTATCTGTGGAAGACAGCCTAGAATGGTCCAGAAGCAAAGCAGCGCCTCCCCTGACAGAAGTGTGCCTTCCTTCCCAGGACGATTACATGGAAGCCCTGGCCAGGCTCCACCTCACCGTGACCAGGGCCTACAAAGTGAACACTGACATCAACTTCGAGGTGTTTATTCATAAGGTGGACGGTCTGTCAGATGACCACAAAATCGAGACCCAAAGAGATATTCATCAGAGGGCAAACGATGACCTTGCTGATGCTGGATTAGAAAAAATTCACCTCAGGTGAGAACAGAAACCCCTCAGGGATCACAGGGTTTCTGACAGAAGAAAACAGGTTTGGGGTGCAAAGTCACTACCAGTGGTTTGACATGGACAGTAATTTACCTGTTTACCCTATTTTGTGCTGTAGGCATTGGGAGGGTATTTGGGGAAATCAAGCTTTGCATGTGCTAATTTTAATTTTGTAAAATTTTTTAAACAAATGATCAGAGTCAAGGTCTCCATATAAAAAGACATAACATAAAACCCAGGAATATAATCCAGGAAGTTAGCAATGCTGAAATGTGCCATTCCTGATAAAAATGATAATATTTGTAGTCCTAAGTATAAAGGAGTACTCTCTGAAGATTATTCGAGTAGAAATACTCTCCGAGGAAAACCACTTCCCAATCATTTTTTTGTGTGTGTGTGTAGTATCATCACTCAGTTTACCAGTTGGCAAATGAAAAAATTAAATGCTTTAGTGTCAGTAACAACCAGTAACTAACCTAAGAGGTGTGTGTGAAGATTATCTGGTGTGGATTCTCTTTCGGAATGTTAGGAAGCTAGTATAGTCCCATGCCACTGCATTTTAAGGCTTCCCAATCCAGCCAGTCAGCAGATGAGAATGGACACAGTTCTTGCTTTTTGGGAATTAGGGAGAAGTAGCTTGTTAAGACATGTTCATTTTTTATCAAGGTCATTTTGAAATCTGGAGGGGACTAGAATGTGTGTGTAAGAACTGCAGATACAGAAGGCAGGGTGCTGGTGGTATGGCATAGCCTACGTAATTATTCCTTAGCCAAAAGGAAAACATGATGAGATATTGTTTCCTCTTTCAGCTTTTATCTGACAAGCATATATGATCATTCAATATTTGAAGCTTTTAGCAAAGTGGTTCAGAAACTGATTCCACAACTCCCCACCCTGGAGAATTTGCTAAACATCTTTATCTCAGTAAGTAAATAAATACATCCTATTACAGTCATTTGCACAATTCAAGAATAACTTTGCAAAAGTGAAAACAATCTTACTTCTGCTTGCTTTTATAGCTGTTCAAGGTCACTGAAATATACTTTTGAAACTGCTCCTACATACTGTTTTGGGGCCTTTAAATTTTAACTCCCAGAACAGATTCCTGTACTTCACAGGTATAGTTGGAGTGGTTACTCTAGTTGCAGGCAATCATTCAGTGTTCATAGAGCCCTACTAGAGGTAGGGAAGATAAAAGCTGCTTTTGGCAATAAGATATTGAGATTTTTTACCTGTGTTTAACACTGAATGATATGCTAGCTGAATGAGTCCTGTGAGCTGTCAGCTCTACACAGGCTGCACAGAATTGAGGCAAAACTGTTGGTTGCACTCATATTTACTCTGTCACTGCAATATTTTGAGTCTCTTTAGATTTTTTAAATTTATTTCTTAACTTACAGTCAGTAAGATTAGTGTTTTTACTTTCCTTTTTCCTAACTGCAGGTGCATCTCTGAGTCAGGAAACTGCTCATTTTGTTTAAAGTAAATAATTTGTGATAACTAGTTCTACTTTTCATTTCTTAGGCAAGCCCCTTATAAAGAAGGTTATATGAGCTTTAAGTTACAATAAAAATGGAAGAGCCCAAATTCTTAGTGACTTAGTTTTTATTTTTACACTGAGGATGGCATATAATTTTATGCAACCATGAAAAGGTCTGGAATCAGCTGTCACTTTAAGGCAGCATCTTCTTTTTGTTTTAGAATTCTGGAATTGAAAAGGCTTTTCTATTTGACGTGGTCAGTAAAATTTATATTGCAACTGATAGTACTCCAGTGGATATGCAAACCTACGAGCTCTGCTGTGATATGATCGATGTGGTTATTGATATCTCTTGTATTTATGGGTAAGTAAAACATTCTTAAAGGCTTAAATCAAACCATGGTTCTCTTTTTTTTTTTAATTGAAATGTCTTTGATACACAGTCTTACATTGTTTTCAAATGTGCAACACAATGGTTCAACAGTTACCCATATTATTAAATCCTCATCCCCACTAGTGTGCAGTTACTATCTGTCAACATAGGAAGATACTGCAGCCATGGTTCTCTTTTATAACTGTTGAGACATTTTGCATTTACCTATTTGATATTAACACTTCTGTTTTAAATGACTGAAATCTGTAAATAAATATGCCATTTAGCCATGCAATTACAACAAAAAATTACTGAGTAAATGCCCGGCATTTTGCTGATTATCTCATTGCATATATTATAACATTTAATTCTCCACCATTCCATGAGGCGGGAATTACTCTATCCACATTTTACAGACGGGAAAACTGAGGTTCAGAGTGGTTCAGTTTCTAGATTCTGCTCACACTGTCAGTAGTGGATGGAACTAGAGTTTGAACTCAAGTCTAACTGATTCCTGGTTCCTCTACTCAAAAATCTGTCATATATCGTATATGTTTGGGAAAGGCTAATAGGTTCTTTGAACTCTAAATAAATACCTCATATTTACAACAGTTCTATCTTCTTACAGGAAATAACTACTGGTTTTTTTATAGTATACTTTTGATTATCTTCTTGTGAGGGTAGCAGGGAATTATAGAACTAAGCAAACAATATTACCTGTTTATTATTACATTAGGTAAGTCTTAGATTCCTAAAAACCAGAACTTCCTATACACTTACTGTAAAACAAACAAGGAGTGAGGAAAATATATTGTTACCAAACATAGAAACATTTCCACGTAATTATAATTTGCTGAATACATGACACACAGAGTGAATGGGTGTGAGCTAGTTTGTCTGTCTTACTAAGACATCACATTGTTGTGCTCTATTTATATTGGATCTTAGACCCGTAAGCGGTCATTGAGGAGATAAGACTCTTGCTCATCTTCCTCTTTATGCACTGGCTCTGATCTGTCCTACACAGCCACCTCTGTCCTGTCAGCTTCTGTGAGTCTGTCTCACCATTTCTCTCTCCCACTGTCTGAAAATCCTTTCCCTACTCAGTTCACATTTTCTGTTAACACCGTTATACGCACATGCACACACAGCCCGTTCCATTAAGAAAAAGGGAAAGTGATATTTACCTCACAGGACTGTAGAAAGGACGAAATATCATTAGGCTTTACCTGGTAGACCAGGGACAAAATGGAGCTATCATTATTATTATTATTATTATTATTATTATTATTATTAAACATTGCCATCTGGTTTTGGAAATAGACCTCATTTCCCAAGATTACAGCCCTATTATTTTTGTTGTTGACATTGGTATTATTGAATAACTGCCATCTTGCCTTTCGAGATAGGTATTTTTTTTACCTCCCTGCAGTACTCTATTGTTTTTAAACCATAGTGGATGACCTTGAAATACTCATGGAAGTTGAATGTAGCCTGGTCACAGTCTAGATTGCTGTGATAATCAAATGTAATGAATCACACCATTTATCTGGCACATTCTTAATGATACGCAGAGTCATTACTGTGCATATGGTAATTAGACGGAAGTAGCAAGTTGTTCCTGTAAATGATGTCAATCAGAGCCCCTTTCACCCAGCTGAAGCAGACACAGGGAGGGAGCGGTTGGGAGGAGGGAACTGGGTCCTGCTGGCAGGTTGTTTCTCTGTGGTGCAGCCCAGTGTTCTCAGAACCCACCAAGTTCGGTAAGAACCAGCCTGGGTCACGTGTGGGCCCCGGACTTTACTCAGACTGTCTCCTGGAGCACAGCGCCAGCCTAGCTAACTGGCAGCAGCCGAGAAAGCAGGCTTGCGGCCAGTTCCCAGCCGCTCCGTGGAGACCAGCAGGGCAACGCAGGCGACCTGTCGAGGCTGGCTGTGGCTGCCAGCTCTGCGCCCAGAGCACCCACACTTTGCAATACGTTCCACCTTCGTGTGTTTTCATTGCTTTCAAGATAGACACTTAGGTAGTAGAAGACAGTTGTTGGAGTCATAAAACCTTACCAATTTCTACTTGTAGTTTTTCATTTGGTCGTTTTTGTTTTTCCAGTTTGTTTAATGTTTACTTTTTTCCTGATTAGGAATGTAATCCAGATTCATTGCAGAATATATGTAACCGTATAAGAATAAAATTAAAATAGCCCATAATCTTATCACGTAGAAACAGTCACTATTCATGTTTTTATATATTTTGTTCTTATTTCTGTGTGTAATTTTTAGGAGAATGTGATCACTTTGTATGTATATAATTTTATATCCTGCTTTTTTCTTTTAGCATTATCACCTGAGAATTTTCCTGTGTTATTTTAAGTTCTGTTAATAAATAATGTTTAATGTCTGTAAGTGTTATATTTACTTGGAAGTTTTAAATGCAGTTTTCTTCCTTGGGTAAAAAATTTTTATTGTTTTAGATTATTCTTCTCAGAATATTACTTAGAAGCAAGAGAAATTCAGTTTAGAAAAATAGTAGCTGAACATAGTACAAAGAAAGTTAGGAATTCTGTTAAATCTTCTTTAACAACTGAGATCCAGCACTTTTCTAATGTTTTGGTTGGTTATAGTGAGTTGAATCTTTTTTTAAAAAAAACCAACTTCCTCAAGTTACCATTAAATAGTCATATAAGTGCCAGTTTAAATATTCTCAAAACTGGAAATCTACAGTTCCTTTAAAGCACTCTACAATTCAGACTTTTCACAAAATCTGGTTTGTCACTCTACCCCCTTGTGATATGTACAAGCATTAAAAGCATTAGCTTTGAAATGAGTCTGATTAGTTTGAGTTCCTGGCTCTACCCCCACCTTCAGTTTTGACCAAGTTACCTTACATTACCCCTGCCAGCCTCGGTTCCTGAATACCTAGCTTAGACTATTCTTGTACCCACACAGTGGCTAATGCCTGGCAAGAACTAAGAATAGTGCTGGTCATATAGTAAATTTTTAGTAAATAAAAATCTTTTAATTATGCAAAAGTGATAAGGTTTAGCACCAGCTGTATTAGTTATTATTATTATGCTGTATTAGTAAGGTTTAGTATAATTCCAGGTAAGTCCAATTGCTTGTCAATTGTTCATAAATTTGAGAAGTAAGAAATCAAAATATATACACAGTTTCAGATAGCAGGGTAAGAGGTACATGGAAGTGCCGTTTGTCTATGTGGAAAGAATCCATAACTCCTTGATCACCTCGGTGTCTTCAAAGAATACAGTTTCAGTCCTTAAGGCCATGATAACAATAATAGCGAACATTCGCTGTGCATTTTACATTCTCAGCACTATGCTCAGTGCTATGTATGTATTATTTCATTGCATTAGGAAACGTTGAAGTAAGTACTGTTAGTACATAGGTGAGGAATTGGAGGCTCTTACTCAGCTCGCTCAAGTTCACACAGTGAGTGAGCTGGGATTCAAACCCAAGTCGTATGTCTGCAGGCTCCACCTTTTCTTAATAGACCAATATATTTATTTAACTTTTTCTTTAGAAAAAGGTTCAAGCCCACAGAAAATATACAACAGTGCAGTGAATGCATATACATTTTTCACTGGGATTCACCAATTTGTTACTGGTTTGCCCTCTTTGCTGTCTCTCTCTCTAATGCATACTGTTGATTTTTGCTGACCCATTTGAGAATTGCACACATCATGATTGATTGATCTTAGCTACTTGAACATCTATCTCTTACGAGCAAGGACATTATTCCTTCACAGGACCACAGTTCAGTTATCAAATTAAGCATAGTTAGCAGGGCTACATTGCTCTATGATCAAATAGATAGTCCGTATATAAAGTTTTCCAGTGTTCCCAATTGTCCTTTATAGAATGTTTTTACCTTACCCAGGGTCTAGTCCAGCATTTGTCTGTCATGTCTCTTTGGAAAAACGCATCTTGATTTTTTTCATGAGACCATGTGATTGACAGCTTTGTTATTCTGTCATGGGAAAACAGGAAGCCCTTGTGGACCACGCAGGGGAGAGGAGCTCACTTCCGTCCCTCACCTGTGTTCCCAGGTGCCTAGAGAGTTAGTTGCCCAGCTGCCGCAGCAGTCAATAGGAAAGTGACTGTCATACACTGTTATTCTTGTGATTGTGTGTTTCTGAGACGTTTTGCTGAAAGGTGCTGTAAGTGTAAACTACTTGTTGTGAATACATTCCTGTGTTAAAGCTGGTCTCCACCACTGGGTTGCAATTTGTAGTTCCTTCTCAATGGTCAGATATGTTTTGGTTTCTGTCCCCATTTAGTCTCAAAGAAGATGGAGCAGGAACCCCTTATGACAAGGAATCAACAGCCATTATAAAGCTGAATAATACAACGGTTCTTTATTTAAAAGAGGTGACAAAGTTCCTGGCTCTTGTTTGCTTTGTCAGAGAGGAAAGCTTTGAAAGAAAAGGTAATGTTTTTGTGCGATTTAAATGAAGCATTTCAATTCCGACTAATACTGCCTTTACTGCCAGTTGAATGTGGGTGGACTTGTTTGAGGCTTCCAGACTTGAGTCATAGGCCCCCCCTTGGTCCCCCCCACTCCCCGGGCTCCTGCCCCCATCAGTCAGGGATCCATGAGCCCGCCTGCCCTCTAGTGATACAGCTGTCAGGAGGTGGAAGTGAAACCAGACCGTCCTCTCCAGGCCTTAGCTTTTCTGGGAGTGGAGCTATCAGGGGCGTTGTTGCCACGTGGGAAAGTCTTACCAGGAGAAGGGCCTCCCCCCCCACACCTCCTGAAGGTCAGAGGGACCATGTGACCCCTCGTGCTCCCCGTGTAGAGGAGGGGACTCAACATTACAGCTAAACGGTATTGAGCTTCTGTTCAGCCTTTGTACATTTTTAGTTCCCAAAACACAGGTGGCATGATTCCCAAAGGAACAGACATGAATATACGTAATAACGTCACTACGTATCTTTGTAGGACAAACTTGGTTCTACTTAAAAACAAAAGCAATTAACTTCATAAAGATAACTCATTTTCCCTGTACTATCTACCCTGGGAAATAACAGCTTACTTGACACAGCTAGGGGGTTTTTGCTAGTAACTGGTGTTTGATGTACCAATTTGTTGGGTAAAAAAATTCCCAACAGAGTGGGAGTAGTAACATTTACTGAAACAATGGCCTTTTTTTCCTTATTACCAATGCATGTTTGTTATAAGAATATTGGAAATTTTACAAAAGTATAAGGAACAAATAAAACCACTCAATTTTACTATGTGGAGCTAAACCCCATGTTAGATTTCTGAGATTTTTGTTGTTCTCCGTCCTTCCCTCCCTCCCATCTTCCTTTCCTTCCTTCCAATAAGAGGGGCCGTATTGTCTATATAGTTTTATATCTTGTTGCTTTCACTTATTTATGTCATGAAAAGGTTCCTGATTCATTGAACATGAAAACATAATTTAGATTTTTATTGTTTCTATTATAAAAATAATGGCTTCATTTAGAAAATTTAGAAATAATAAGCAAAAAAATAATTATTGATAAATTTCTCTGATAATCACTCTTAAAATTTTCTGTATAACTTTTCATTTATATCTATGTCTATATATGGGATTGTATGATAAATACTACTTTATAACCTTCACTTAAATTTGGAGACATCTTTCCGGTTCATTAAATCTTTTTGTCATATTTTAATAATTGTTAATTTTTTATTGTTAGTGATTTATATTGTTTCTAGGCTTTGATGTGAGAATAATCTATGATGACCTTTGCATTAAATATTTGTGTACCTCTTTCGTTATTTCCTCAGGAAAAACTTCAGCAAATGGAATTATTTAGATCAAAGGGTAGGCATGTTTTGGTGGCCTCTAATGCGTATTACCAAAATGTCCTTCAGACAGTCTTCAGGGTTTATATTACTAAGAGAATATGGATGTGTCCATTTTTACTGTATTCTTATCGTGACTGGGTATTAGCATTAAAAAAATTGATAACTGAAAACTGGCATATCTTTTAGATCTGTATTTCCTTGCTTCTTAATGAACTGTGTATCCTTCCTGTGTTTATAGATTATGAACAACCAAATTGACTTTTGTGTTGCCCTTATTACCAATCCAAATTGCCAAGGGCCCTCAAAACTTTTAACAAAGTGGTATTAACCTTTGGACGTCCTATTTTCATCTTTCTGAAAGATAGAACAGATTATATAAAAGATTCATGGAATTTTTTAAGACACAGGACCACAGCTTGTCTCATTCCCTCCGTTACAGGTGATTTTGCCTCAAAGCCAGGTCGCACCACCCATGCATGGCAGTTAGGGGTAAAGATTCCTGGGCTTCTCCCTGTATAGAACCAGTCACATAAATTGTGTTTCAAACCATTATACATACATTCCCATGGTTAAAGATATTCCAGAATTTGTATTTGGTTATTAATATTTCATGTTGATTTTGGAAGCGAAAGAAAGTTAGAGTAATACAAATAGTATGACTACAGCCCCAAAACCATCTAGGGTAGACAGGTCCTAAAATTTAGGGTACATAGGGTACATTAGGATCAACCTTGACAGCTTGTTTATTTTTGAACTAATTTGAGACTTAACAGAAAAGTTGTAAAAATAGTATGTAACTTACATATACTCCTCATCCAGTTACCCCAAATGTGGACTTCTTTATTTAAAGCTGTCAAAACCAGGGAATCAACATTGGTATAGTACTAGTAATGAAACTACAGACCTTATTCAAATTTCACCAGTTTTTCCAAAAATACCCTTTCTGCTCCAGGATCCCAAATTGGTGTAGTTGTTATTTTTCCGAGTCTCAAGTCTGTGGCAGTTCTTCATCTTTCATGACCTTGACACATTTGAAGAGTACTGATCAATTACTCTGCATAATGCCCTTCTAATTGGATTCACCTGATGTTTTCACCCAGTCGGAATGAAATTGTGCACTTTGACAAGAATACCACATGGAAATGATGTGTCCTCAGTGTATCCTATCAAGTGGTTCATGATATAGATAGCTTATTGGTGATGCTGACCTTGATTTAGTTAAGGTGGTGTGCGCCAGGATTTTCCCACTAGAAAGTTCCGTCTTTCATTTGCAGTTAATAAATACTTCAAACTTTGCAATTCTTGTTTCTCTTCAGACTTTTGCCCATTAATTTTAACATCCATCTGTGGTTGTGGAAGTAAATTTAAGTGGAAATTTAACCTTCTAAGTGGGATCATCTCTGAGAACAGGCAGATTTTGTAGAATTTATTAAACTAACCAGAAACCTAGGTATTCGTTTTAATGTTACAGCTAAGAAATGTAAATAAAGAGGTAGACAGAGTTAAGCTTGTGTGCTTTTTAGGGAGACTAAGTGTCTCCATTCGCCTGGGACAGAGGGTGTTCTGGGATAGGAGAGACCTTCAGTGCTGAAACTTGGAATGTCCCGAGCAGATAGGATGAGCTGGTTCCCCTATCAGGTAGTTGTCTTTAAAGAGAACTTAGTGCTTACAAATGCATGGGGGTAGTTGGCTGGGTTTTGTTACTGTAACGTCATGTGGTGTCGCGCCCTGTTGGTGCGTGTTGATTAGCTTTTCCTCCTGGTGGGCTCCGTCTGAGTGTTCAGTACTGATCTCTGTCACTGCTTTTGCAGAAAGGAGACAATGGGAAGCAGATGTGGGGTTTTCAGCCCTGGCCACATGCTGTAGGCACTTTGGAAAGGGAGGTGGTTAAAAAATACAACATCTAGGCCCTCCTGAAAACCATTAGAATAGAATTCCTAGGAGGAGAACCTGGGGTTTAGTTTTTTAAAAGTTCCCTGGATGTTCTTGATAACACAGCTGGGGTTGATAACCACTGAACCATTGAAGAATTGTGGGGCCACAGCTGTACGTGGTGATGAAGACAATGTTTGTTCTGTTCACATCTGTGTTCCTGTATTTTTAACTGCTTTTAATGAATGGGTTGAAATAAAGAACAAACACTTTATATGAATTCTTATATCTTTTGAAGACCTCAGTTGTGAATTTTTCTCTTTAAAATCCAGATACAGCGAGATGACTGTTACATTTTAATTGTGCAAATATGAATTAGTGAAGATTTGTTAGGAACAATCAAGTAAGATGTCTGAAATTTCCCAAGTTCTTATTGAGCCAAAGGCCTTCAGCTGGGCTTTCTTCCTAAGGCAGTTTGGCTGCACATATAGGCAGAGAATTTTGAGGTGGTTCTCACATCTCTTATCCACATTCCTACTAACATAATTTCTTTGCTCCTTGTTTCTTTCTTTCTTTCTTTTTTAAATCACATCTTTATTTTAAAGATGATCCCAAGAAACAAGTGAGCAAGTGGGGAAATACAGGTAGAGAGGCCATCCATGTGTCACTGATGAGCACTTTATGCTCAGTCCCAGTGGGGGAATCACAAACTCAGGTTCGGCCCAGTGAGTATGCAAGACTGCGGCATACCTCGCCGGCTCCCACGTGCCACTGTCTGAGGGGCACCCTCAGAGCCCTGGTACCTGTCCGTGTGCGGTCAGGGAAGTTCTGTGGTGCCAAGGAAGCTTCAGACAGAGAAGATGTATCTATACCCTGGCTTGTGTATTTCCTGTTTCTCTCCCCCTATTGTCTTAATTGTCTTTCCTTAAGGAAATGTCTCCTGGTCTTACTGCACAGTGGGTACTACCGCTGTGGAAGCAGCAGAGGGCGCCATGCAGGGCCTCCTGCTTCTGGAAGCCCGGTGACCGTTTCCTGCAGTGCCCTTGCCTCAGCTACACAACTGCTTTGGGGAGTTTCACTCATTGCAGGGAATCCCAGTTCTTTTTTTGTTGGTTGGAGCTCTAAAGCATCACCTGAGTTGGATGGAAGTAATCGTTGGGCAAGTTATTTTAATAAGTTTAAAGGGTGTTAAATAGAACCAACTGCCTTATCCTAAGTGGTGTAAGTGTAATGTTGCTCTCAGCAGTTGTACAAATTAGTGGTGATGATGAAAAATGCGCCCCAGACTTTGGCTGGCAGCTTTGATTCTATTTTGGTACCACTAATTTCTGGAAACATAAGATTCTCCTCTGCCATTTCTCCATTTACAATTTACTTAATATTGAAAAACTGAGAGTGTCCTTGGTTGTTGAATTCCTGAGATTGGAGCTGACCTGAGGTGACTTGTGACCACTCAACAGTCAGGGACTTTGCTTTCCCCTGGGCTTTTGACAATGGTTCAAAATATAATAGATATGCAATTGATCGATTGGCACCATAGCTTTGAGATCAGCCCCACTCCAAGTCAGGGTCTGCCTCTCCTTATTAGAGTCACTTTAATAATCCTCTGAAGGGAAAATAATTTCATTGAATATACTGCTTTGTTGTAAGAAATCTCTCATTCTGACAGGTTTTAAAACAATGTGACAGTTCAGCTGGTTCTTCAGATCTTTTTGGTAGTAGACGTCTTTGAAAATGTGCTATATACTCTGGAACATTTGCTGAGGAAAAAATATGCATTCAGAAGACTCTGCCTGCAATGCCTGAAGCCCAGCTGCAGACCTTTTAGGGGACTCTGCGGACTTATGGTTAAGGCTGTTCCTCTGCCTCCCACTACTCATTCGTCCTGGCCACAGCAGCCATGAAAAGATGGAGATGATTTCTGTGCCATTTCTAAATATCTTTGTTTTCTTCTCCAGGGCTTATTGACTATAATTTTCATTGCTTCCGGAAGGCCATCCATGAAGTTTTCGAGGTGAGAATGAAAGTGGTAAAATCACGAAAGGTTCAGAATCAGCTGCAGAAGAAAGGAGCCCCCCCCAATGGGACCCCAAGAGTGCTGTTGTAGTAAGGTGTCAGGACCGTCTGTTGAAATCAGACCTTTCACTGAAGCTGCTGCGCTGTGTTGCACTAAAGGAAAAGGAGGAGGAGATTGGGACACATGACATATTTGTTGTAAAAAAGAAAAAAATTCCTGCAACCCTTTTAGTCTTTTTTAAATAAAGTAAGCACTTTGAAGCAAACACTTGTATTTTAACAATGAAGTGAAATCCATTGTAATTGCATTACACAAACGTAAACTTTTATGGTCTGCAGTCAGAAAAATCCTGTGTAAGAACTGCCAGGAACTGTATATATTTTGCACTTTTTCATGTTTCACTGAACTGATCTTTGATAAAACAACTTTTCTAAGCTTTTTTCTGTATGTGGAGTCAAGGACATGCATACTGTAGTCCATGTGTATATGGCAATCAGAAATTAATCAAAAGGCAGTGAGTGGGCAATGACTTTTTATAAATCTGAGAATATTTGCTACCAATTGTTGAGGAAAAATCATTTTTCATTAGAGCTGGAACAGATGGGGACAGGCAGCAAGCTCGAAGAGCAGTAAGAGCTGTCGTCTGGTAATAACTGGTGTAAACAGGAGTTTTGTGGAGTAATGTTAGCGCCAGACTCGGATACCTGAAAACTTCCATAGCTGTGACAGTGCTTTCCTACTCAACAGTTTTGACATAGCTCTTTACCTCAACACATTTCTGCCTATTTATACAGAGGGGTCATTTCCTTTTGCTGCATTACAGTTCTTCAGAACCTCTGGGACCACATTTCCAAAGTGGTGCCAATCACTGGACAGAATTGAGAACTGTGGGGTTTCTGGAAGCTTTTCAGTAACTGCTACCCACACCCAAGTAACATCAGAGCCACATGTTTTCCCAAATGCGACTGGCAACTGCAGATTTAAAAACCTGTGCAGTTACTTACGTTTGGCCCATGTTAAATGGGCCTGTAACTGCAACATTTAAAGTACTTAGAACCAGTTTTTTGTGTTTGTTTTTTTACTGCTCTGTAACCATGGAGAATGTCTAGATCTCTCTAGCACAGAGCTTAATGCTGATGGGCACAGTTGTCATCTCTGAGCCTCATCTGCTGCAGTGTGCCTAGTGTACTCTACCCGTTCCCACCTTGTGATTGAACTAGAGTTCAGCTTACTGGTAGCACTCTCTGCACAGTGAAACATCTGTCCTGAAAACCCCTAAATATCTGTAGAAAGAGGATGGTCAGCGGAGACATTACAGTTTGCTATGTATTTGTTTCTAGGAAATTCTTCCTTGGCATGTTTACTTGACTATGGGGAAGTTAGGAGACTCTTGAATCTACCCCCACCCCAAACCATTCCAAGTAGCTAGAACCGATGTCCAGTCTAAGACTCAGTGTCCTGAAGCTTGCTTGGGAGGTTTTTTGTTTTCTTGTTTTTTTACCAGAGCCTCATAGGGACAGCAAAAGCTGGTCCTAGCAAAAATGTATCAATTTCCTATGGCAACCTGTCCTTGAAATTACCCTACTTGTATTTGGGGCTTCTTTTCTGTCCTCTCCTTCCTTCCTCAAGTCCTATTTGAAGCTGGTAACTGCAATTTAAGATGGGAACTGATTTGAGCCCCCCTCCCCCCAAGGGTCTGCATTTTAGGAGGAAATTTGTAAAAATCACTAAGGTGCCCTAACTCCATGACTCCTACTGGGAAACCTGGATGGGTTAGGAACCCAGGGCTCTAGGGAAGTCTTTTCCTTAACTTTGGACCTATATACTCCCTGCTGGGTCTTTGCCAACAGGCCTGGTGCATATGGGTCGTTCTTATAAACTTAATTCTGTGATTTTTTTACACAGTAGTTCTTGTTGAATAAGCTTAAAGAATTGCTTTTCTAATGTGACTTGATCCTCAAGAAGGATACTTGCCTATCTGGTAAATCACACACAGGTATATGTACTACTGTAACCAGGTGGAGCTTCCATTTTAAGGTGGGGTATATGATGGGTTTTTGTTAAAATGTGCCTTAAAAGCCTATCACTTCAAAAGCAAATGATTCTTTAGGGGAAGGGCGAAAATAATCCTATGGCATGGGAGTCAGCTTCACCATAGTGCACTCTGATTAATCACATCGATATGTAGATTCCTGCCTCAAACCTGTAAGCATGGCAATGACCTCTTAGTGAAATTCATATGTGGGAGTATGTTTTAGCATTCCGTTTTTTAAGTCTGTGCTACTGGAATTATAAAAATCAATTCCTTTTGCAATTTATTTTGATATGAGACTTAGCTTACTGCGCTATGCATGACCTCGTGTAGGTCACCAATGTAAAGCTATATATACAAAGTCCAAATCTATGGCTACAATGACTGCTCTGGAACATTTTTTGCTCATTTTCAAAGGTTGAGAACTTGACCTGCAGGTTTCCAGGCCAATTAGAACTTCTATGTGGAGGTGAGACTCTGTAAATTATCATCTTTGGTTATTTTTAGTGATGCAGGTTAGTATGTATAACCAGGGTAGAGTGTTTTTGCAGAAATACAAATCAAACACTGGTTGGCATTTATGGGCAGTGTTATTTTGTGAACATATTTTGGACCCTTAATTATAAAATGACTAGAAACAGCAATATTGTTATATACGGGTTATATGCTAACTGTTTGAAACTACTCCAGAAAAACACCTGAACTGTCTTGATTTATTAAAGTACGGTATGCATTCAACTTAATACTGAGTGGATCTAATTTGTAACTGAGTATAGTATGTTTTACTTTAAGCAATACATCATTGATAACCATTGTTAAACCATTGCTTTCAAGAGTGTTAACTGCCAATTCAAAAGCACGTATCATGCTCCTGATTTGGTAAGTTTGTCATTTCAGTCATACTCATAACTAATCTTTCTGGGAGCAGAAAGGTCTCTTGGTGGGGTTGCTTACTGTACGTGCATATCACTGCTTCACTGGCCCTATTTAGATCCCTTTAGGAAAATGTGTTTGTCCCGATTAACCAGCTTTCATTTTATGGAAATGGGGATAAATCACTGTGTTTGAATTGAATTTACACTTTATTTTTTAAACCTTCTTACTTCTACATATTTTTTGATGGGGACATGACTGTTTGAACTATAAGACTGTTACTCAGAAAACTTCAGATATTAATCCTTGCTGCTCTCCCCCTAACCCCTAGCCGTCTGGAAATTATTTTTCTAAGAGTCCACTCTATATAATGACTTACAGATGCCCTCTAAGAGTTCTCAGAGAAAGCTAGTATTAGATGTTAAATAAATGAAATCCTATTTTGGGTTGGAAAATCTGATCTAATTCCAAGATTTTTAAAAAGTGGTCATGTTGAGTTTAGGAGAAAGAAAATATGCTTAACAGAATTATTTACGAATAATATGTATTGACTATGAGTACGCACAATATTCCAGGTACTGCTCTTAAGTGCTTATTTATAACATCTTCATGAATTTGAGAGTTAGGTATGATTATCACTCCTGTTTTACAGATGAAACAACTGAGGCCAAAGATGAAATAACTTATCATATGGAGGCCTGGAGTCTGACTCAGGAATCCACCCTCTCAGCTACGACTATAAGCAGCCTCACCAAATGTCCCCTTGAATGTCCTACTTTCACAAACATGAAGAGGGAGACTTCATGTTTAGGATTTGCTGCTACAATGCTGGAGTATTTAAAAAATACCATTCTTTTACACAAGAATAGGAGCAGTCTTCTAAATGTACTTTACTCGGAGAAGAAAGTAAACGAAGATTTTCTTCCTAATCCATTAAATAACTAGCGCTGAAAATAGTATTAACAGAGTATTAAATATCAGAAGAAAATGTATATACCTCTTCCTGATAATTGGCTTTCTAAGAAGCAATAATATACCAAATTCAGAACATGGGAAAAATAAGCCTTTGCTCTTAGCTGTATTCAACCTTTTACCTCCAGTTTTTAACAATTTAAAGAAAACAAAACACTGATGTAGATTAAAGTAAAAATGATACATTTCAATCCCAGTTTTGTCTTGAGCTTCAGGCCTATAATTAAAATTGTCACTGGCATACTTTTTCTAGAATCTTCTATAAGAGGACTCTCAAGTCTACATCCAAAGTTGAACTGGCTTCCTTCTTGGTAAATCTTATGCTGTGATGGCATGACTATTCTCCTTCGTGTCCCTGCCAGAAACTTGGGCCACATCCTTGACTGACCCTCCTGCTTACCTCCCAATCACCACTTCTTTCAGTTCGGCCTTCCTAACATCTATTCGATCTATTCTCTCCATCTCTTCTGCTATTATCTTGGTTTGGACCACCTTCTCCTCTTACTTGGATCTCAATAGCCTCTTGACCGATGTCTCAACCTTATCCATCCATCCTCTCCATTCTCCACATAAGACCAAGAGTGTCCACCAAAATTCCAACCATGCTTTGTACCTCTTTGCTTCGTGCGTCCCTTTGTAGCTCTCTGTTACAGATGTCAGTCAAACTCCTTAAAAGCAGGTTCAAGAACCTGCCTCGCCGGTCCCTTCCTCCCTCTTCAGCCTCAGCTGTTCCTGCCTTTATGGAGCTGGACCACATGCCCATACAATGTGGTAAATACAGGCATACCCTGTTTTATTGCACTTCACAATTGCTGTTTTTTTTGTTTTTGTTTTTAACAAATCGAAGGTTTATGCAACCCTGCAAGTCCTTGGCACTATGTTTCCAACAGCATTGTGTCTCTGTGTCATATTTTGGTAATTCTCATGACATTTCAAACTTTTCCATTATATTTGTTATGTTGATCTGTGATGAGTGATCTTTGATGTTACTATTGTAATTTTTTTAGGGTGCCATGAGCCACACCCATAGAAGATGGCCAACTTAATTGATAAACATGTGCATGTTGTGGCTGCTCGACCTACCAGCCATTCCCCCATCATTCTCCCTCTCCACAGGCCTCCCTATTCTCCAAGACACAACAGTATTGAAATTAGGCCAGTTAATAACCCCCCAGTGTCCTTTAAGTGTCTAAGCGAAAGAAAGAGTCGCACATACCTCACTTTAAATAAAAAACTAGAAAGGATTAAGCTTAGTGAGGAAGCATGCTGAAAACTGAGACACCCCTAAAGCTAGGTCACTTGCCCCAGTTAGCCAAGTTGTGAATGTGAAGGAAAATCCTCGACAGAATTAAAACTGCTACTCTGGCAAACATGAATGATAACAAAGCAAAACAGCCATATTGCTAATATGGGGAAAGTTTTAGTGGGTTGGATAGAAGATCAAACCAGCCACAACATTGCCTTAAGCCAAAGCCTGCTCTGGAGCAAGGCCCTAACTGTTCAATCCTGTGAAGGCTGAGGGAGCTACAAAAGAAAAGCTAGTAACTAGTAGAAGTTGGTTCCTGAAAGTTTTAACAAGCCTTCTCCATAACATAAGTGCAAGGTGAAGAAGCAAAGGCAAAGGAGAAGCCTCAGCAAGTTATCCAGAAGACCTAGCCAAGACACTCCATGAAGGCACTGAACAACAGATTTTCAACATAGATGAAACAGCCTTCCTTCTATTGGAAGAAGATGCCATCTAGGACTTTCATTGCTAGAGAGAAGTCAGTGTCTGGCTTTAAAGCTCCAAAAGGCAGAATAGCTCTTGAGGCTGATTTAGCTGGTGACTTTTTAAGTTGAAGTCAGTCCTCATTGACCATTCCAAAAATCCTTGGGCCCTTAAGAATTAGACTAACTCAACTCTGCCTGTGCTTTATAAATGGAACAACAAAGACTGGATGACAGCACATCTGTTTACAACATGGTTTACTGAATATTTTAAGTCCACTGTTGAGACCTATTGCTCAGAAAAAAAGTTTCCTTTCAAAATATTACTGCTCACTGACAATGTGCCTGGTCACCCAAGAGCTTTGGTGGAGATGGGCAATGAGATTAATGTTTTCATGCCTGCTAACACAGCAACCATTCTGCAGCCCATGGGTTAAAGAATCATTTTGACTTCCAAGTTTTATTCTTTAAAAAATACATTTCATAAGGCAATAGCAGCCACAGATAGTGATTCCTCTGATGGATCTGGTCAAACTGAATTGAAAACCTTCTGGAAAGGATTCACCATTCTAGATGCCATTAAGAACATTTGTGATTCATGGGAAGAGGTCAAAATATCAATATTAACAGGAGTTTGGAAGAAGTGGATTCCAACCATCATGAATGACTTTGAGGTGTTTAAGACATCAATGGAGGAAGTAACTAGATGTGGTAGAAAGAACAAGAGAACTAAAATGAGAAGTAGAGCCTGAAGACATGACTGAATTGCTGCAATCTCATGATAGAACTTGAACAGATAGGAGTTGCTTGTTATGGATGAGCAGAGAAAGTGTTTTCTTGAGATGGAATCTATTCTTGGTGAAGAATCTATGAAGACTATTGAAATGAAACAAGATTTAAAATGTTACACAAACTTAGTTAATAAAGCAGTGGCAGAGTTTGAGAGGATTGACTCCAAGTCTAAAGGACATTCTACTGTGGGTGAAATGTTATCAAACAGCACTGCATGCAGCAGAGAAATTGTTCATGAAAGGAAGAGCAATGTGCAAACTTCACTGTTGTCTCATTTTAAGTAATTGCTACAGCCACCCCAACCCTCATCAACCACCATCCCGATCAGTCAGCAGCCATCAGCCTCAAGGCAAGACCTACCAGCAAGAAGACTGAGTTGTGGAAAGCTCAGATGATGGTTAGTACCTTTTAGCAATAAACTGTTTTTAAATTAGGGTATGTACTTTTTTAAGACATAATGCTATTACACATTTAATAGACTACAGTATAGTGTAGACATAACTTCTACACACCATGGGGAATCAAGACATTCATTTGACTCACTGCAATATTCTCTTTATTGCTATAGTCTCTGAACCAGCAGTATATCCAAGATATGCCTATTAAGAGGGATCGTGAGTTATGATTCCTTTCTTTGCCAGTCATTTTCTGAGGGAAATAGTGATTTTTTTCATTCAGCAGTTACTGATAGGACACATATTATATGCCAGACATTGTGTTTAGTAAAATAGCTAAAAGGCAGATTCTGGAGATGGAAGGATTTTAATAAATGAAAACAAAAGAAAATAAACTACTTACTTTTAGATGGGCCTCTATAGATGTCAGTTTTTATAACCACCATTGTAAGGATCTTACCACTTGCTAGCAAAGACAGTGGATAGCCATAACTCGCATCAGAGAAGTTGAGTTGTTCAACCAATTAGCAGATCAATAGCTTTAGTTAACATTACTAATTAACTGTAGACTAAATGAGAAGAGCGCTGCGGAAGTAGAAATGTTGGTCTGAAGAAGTGCCTTTCTTCATAATAGGTGAATTATTTTAAAAGTGTGAGTTTAATTATTTTAATGTTCATACTTTCCTATCTTAATACATATATGAAATCAATATCATTTCCAGAATTACACTTAATAAAAAGCTTATTTTACTTTACTCTTCAATCAGTTTGTACCAAGGAACTATAATTGCTGTCTAAGGTTTATGACATGAGGAGCAGTAGAAGATGAGGGAAGATTCTCATGGTGGAATTTAAAGCTAAGACAGAACTTTTTTAAAGGTCACCTAGAATTTCAAAAGGTTGGATGACATTTTAGAATTTGCTAAACTTGACCTTGCAGGTCTTCAAGGAGATATACTTTGATCATAAATTCAAGTTAAGTGCTGTTGGTGACCTTATTTCAG